ATCCTGGGCAGCAGGGGGAGCAGGAACCTCTCTCAGAGCCTGCTGGCTCTGCAGTGTCTCAGAACTCCAGGCTGGAACATGCCACGATCTGGCCTTCGAAGACCTGTGCTGTGGTCTGCCCATGGCCTTAGCCTGACGGTCCTTCTTCTGCTCCAAATATGAGACAGCTAAGTTACATGGAAACCATCAAGCAGCCACAGAGGGATCGTGCCCTCGAGGGAGTCGGGGCTGAAGCAGAGACACACCTGTGCCATGACTGGAGGGAAGTCTGACGAGGGCTGGGCCTCAAGATGGAGATGCAACAGCCAGGCCTGCAGCCCCCTAGAGAGGCGCAGCAGCTTGGGATGAGGCTGTCCAGTGGGCGCAGTCAGGCGTCGGACACACAGGAGCGACGCAACAGGACCCACGCTCCCAGCCAGCACTTTCCAGGAATGCCTTTGCTCTTTTCAGTCACCCTTGCTACCTGACTGTCTCCCTGCAGGATCAGTATCAGTAAGTGGCTATACTTTAACCCTACAGGTTGACTAGTTTCACCCACTGTGTAATCGTGATGTGATTTTGTGTAAGTAGCCTTGACACAGAGTCTTGGTGGCCACCCCTCAGCACCCCTCCAGGAAGTCCAGGAGCTGTTCTTATTTTCAGTAGCACCCTGGAGTTCCTCACAGCCCCGACGGGTGAGCATCAGCTGACCTGAAAAGTGGAACAACCTGAAGACACGGTGTTCTACCAGCTTGGGCAGGGAGGAGCCTTGCTGGCGAAACAAGGAGGAACATCCTGGGAAGAGTTTGATAAAGTTAACAGTTTGCCATAATTGTTGCCATGCCTTTCTAATCTAAAATAATCACCCACGTTCAACAGAACCCCATGCCTTTGTTTCTCAATAAAAGTGGGAGTTTAAGTCAGTTCAGGGCTCGATTCCAGTGAAGCCCCCAGCTTCCCCACAGAGAGGCCGTGGCTCTCGGGTCTTCACTCCTCTCTGTCAGGGTCTGCTGGCCCGAACCCAGAACAACTCTCCTGACTTTCTCCTTCATCCCTCGGTGTTGAGAGGCCACGGACTTGGCTCATCTGACACTCAGTAGGTTAGGAGTTATCTTCCCCGTAACACACATAGGATGGTATTTACCTTAGAGGCATCACTGTGGACAACAATATGAACAATTTTTAAAAACAAATTACCAAAAAGAAAATATTTATGCAACTATAGGAAAGATGTATGCTAGATCACTGTGAACAGTTTTAAATCTCTAATATGTAGATAAGGTTAATAAATGGAACTATTATATGGGGTAAAGTTTTATAAAATGAATTCATAAAGCATTACTGAATACAGATTATAGCTATACTAAAATGCAATGTATACATATTAAACAGAAAATCTGAAACACTGAAAACATTCAAATTATTATCATTTTGGTAAAATTGCTTACATTCCTAAAGTATAATACCCAGTCCATTAAACTACCTGTGAACAAAGTTTAGAATTCCACCACTGTTCACTGAGTCATGGTAATAAATGGCCCACACGGCTCCCATCTCCCGAAGGTAGCACTCCCTCCCAAGAGCCCAGAAAGGTGGCAGGCACCTTTCTAAGGTAACCTCTCCCTGACCTCGGTTGAGTCTTGTGAGTATGACCGGACATCACTCCCATGATTACATTCTATGGCAAAGGGGATCTTGCTGATGTAATTAACGTCCCTAAGTAGTGCTGGAGGGGGATGAAAAGGAAGTCATTCTGGGTGGGCCCGACCTACTCAGGTGGGCCTTAAAAACGATCAGAGCACTTGGGAGCAGCCGATACTCCTACCGGCCTTGAAGGAGTGGGCTGCTGTCACAAGAAGGCCCCGACCAGTGGAGAGGAGCCTGGTGCGTGGCTGGCAGGGAAGGGTGGCTCTCAGTCACCCAGCCAAGGGCAGAGAACTCCCACAGCAAGCAGCAAGCTTGAGAAGCACTCTCAGTCCCCTCAGCCACTCTGGCCTCCGCCCACGGGACGCTAAGACGCAGCCCAGGTACCCGTGCTTGGAACGAGGGACCACAAATCCACACGGTAAGAGGGGTTGTTTCAGGCACCGAGCTCTTTGTACACACAGCAATAGAAACTGTTCTCTTACTCAGAAGAAGCTTAGCTCTCAATGCTGAGTGTTACTCATTTAATGTTTCATTCACAAATATGTACTGATCTCCTATCGTGTGTCAGGAATTTTATCAACCGTGACATTTTACATGAATCCAAATAATTCTTTTCATAAAAGACTGAACTATGTATTACGCATAAAATGCTTACGTCCAGAAGGAAATCTTTAACTTCAATGCTGAAAGAACAATTGGAGAGACCACAGATGGCGAGGATGACTGGCGTTGCGTTGCAGGGCGGCACGCCTCGCCGGCACGAGACGCTAGGAGCACGCTGCCGTGCAAGGGCTCCGGCACTGGGGTCCAGCACGGAGCCTGTGCGCCACGTTCTAGGCCGCATCACCTCGAAGGTGTCAGGACCCTTAGACTTATGAAGACAGCACATGACTCCCTTCCGTCTGTGAAGAACCCCTAATCCTTTCTGTCTCCCCAGATAGACCTACTCATCGGCCAACAGGTGAAAACGGAATAAACTCTTCAAAAGGAAAACATTTCCGACTAGCTTCGTGTTTAAATGCAGCTGCATGTTTTCCAAGGGGCACGTGTAAAAATAAGGAAACAAAAAACCTGTGGCAAAGAATGGAAAAAATAGACCAGCCGTATCAATGTAAAAGAAAACTAGTTATACAATACCAAATCGTATGGCATAACACAAAAAACATGACTCACAACGTAGCTAAAATCAGTTTCTTCTGTGTGTCAGTAACAAAGGCTCTAAATATACAAAGCAAAAAATGATAAAATCTGGGGAGGATAAATCTGTCCTCATGATATCAGCTTTTAAGGACTGACAGATCAAGAAGATGAACGGCTGAAAGAATACAAAAGATCTGAAGAAAACAGCTTACATTCTAGATTTTATAGGCAGATGTTAAGTACACATTACATTAAACAACTGAATGTACTCAGAGTAGTAAATTCCTTGTGAACAAGTTTCAAAAATGGCTTTCATACAAGCCACAATTTCTTTTTTTGTTTTTTGAGACGGGGGTCTCACTGTGTAGCCCAGGCTGGCCTCGAACTCACTTCGATCCTGCTCCCTCAGCCTCTGAGACCTGGGATTAGGTCTCAGGCTTGTGCCACCAGGCCTGGCTTACTAACCACAATTTCTAACCAGAATGCCACTGAGGTAAAAAAAAAATTATTCTAATCTCACACAAATCTCCTAGAGTACAGAAGAAAGTGTGGGTCCTGCTTAACTGTATGAGGCTAGTATAGCCTTTACCTGCAAAGCAGGAAGGGAAAGAATGAAGGAGGAGGGCTGGGATTTAGCTCAGTGGCACCACATCTGCCTTGCAAGTGCAAGGTCCTGAGTTCGATCCCTGGTACCGAAAAAAAAGAATAGAGAAGGAAAAATACAAGGCAAGCTCATGCACAGCCAGGCTCAAGAATGATGAAACAGGTATTGGCAAACTGAATCTAACATTATATGAAAAAGATAACACACATAACTTGGACCTGTTCTAGAAATTCAAGGTTGATTCGGTATCAGAAAATTGATTAATATAAGGTACCACATTAACAAATCAAAGGGAAAAAGTACCATCATAATAGATGCAAAAAGCTCAACAATCTTTTCATAGTTTTTTAAAGTGAGGAAATTAGAAGAGAACTCCCCTGACCCACAGAGGGTGTGTACAACACAGAGCTCCGGGGAAGCACCCTGGTTCAGGGGGCGAGGCTGGCATCTTTCCCTGTAAGAGCAGGTAAGGAGAGGAGAAAGCTGAAGACCTCTGGAGATTCCAGTCAGCAAGGAGAGGTCAGAGGGGTGTCCCCAACTGAAGTGACACAGGCACCAGGCGCTTCAAGGGGAGCCACTAGGCAAAGCACATCAGCAGGGTGCCGAGGCAGAACTGAAAAGCTGGCTAGAGGCTCCTTCCTCAGCCTGCTTCTAGCACTCTCTCCAGTGCAAAGCAGCAAGCAGGCTGGAGGAACACTTAGGTAAAATGTTGCGAGAAACCCCCATGAGGAACCCACATGGGAAACACGGATGGTCACACAGGGCCGCACTCTGTGCGTGGTGTGCACATGTGAAGCTGCGTGGCTCTCCCTGGACAGCCAGAGAAGGCTGGGCGGGACTCAGGGACACTCTCATTCCTCCATCCCTCCCAGGGAGCGCGCTCACAACTTTCTCTGCCTATGTCTCTGAAACCTTCTCAGGAACGCTGAGTGCAAAGGATCGGCCTGCCCGGTGGCGCTGGTGCATCTTAGTGGGGTTTCCTTGGGCAGAAGCAGTCGTGAGGACACTGGACCTGGAGGCAGGAAAAGCTGACAAGACAGGAAGTTTCAAGCCAAGAGCTGAGTTTGAGGAAGACGCCCAAGCAGCCACGGAAAGGACAAACTGAGAGCAGAGGGAATGAAGAAAGAAGCAGGAAGGTGACCTGGCACTCAGCTTCCGCCAGGGTGACACTGTTCCAAAAGCCTTCATGTGTACTTCACCCACAGAGTTTGACTTACAATGGTACTGTATGTGATTCTTAGCCTTTTCTTTTCCAAGCTAAATATTTTCATATGGAATTTTAAATTTATTTTAGATGGCGCTGTCTAGAACTTACCGTCTCTCTTTTTAAAAGGAGGCCAAGTGTGTAGAAGACAACACTACTGATTTACAGAAGAGCAAAGATGCCTTCTCTGTTTTCTTTCCAGGAAGGTGACGGACTCTGTTTTTGCTTTCCCCACAAAACACCTCGGCTTTTGGTAGTAAATTTTACCTTGTAGGATGTAACCAACGTGTTATGAAACATTTTACGCCCCGACGTGTCTCCCATGACTACTGTTCTCCCAAGGCTCACCAACCCCTGCGGCGTCACCGGGAAAAGCTCCCATTACCGCGCACGAGGCATGCAGGGAAGAGCCCAAAGAGCACTTGCCTCCTGGGTGGCCGCGCACATCTTGTCCTCCAGCTCCTCCTTCAGGTCTTCCAGCTCTCGCTGAAGCTGATGCTTATCCTCTTCCAGGGCCAGCTTCTCCTTCTCATACTGTTCCTCCAATTCCTCAGAAAAAGGAATTTTAAAAAATTAACAGGATTGCAAATATAACTCAAAGACTCCGAGAAAAAGAGCATTCTATTTTATATTTTGCCCTTACCCTCAGTAATACCTGAGTTAACAGTGACTACCCAATCATGTGGCCTGGGTCCTGACATCTGAACCACTTTTAGCTGGGTGAGAATATGTGACCAGACTAGCCCACTCCACAAAGTACTGTACAATAATTCCTTAGCTCACCAATGCTTCTGTTTGCAAACAATTTGGTTCGCAAACAAAAGTATTTGGAAAAATTTTTCTTCCGTTCACAAACTCCGCATCGGGTGACAGACACAACCATGGCCATCTTCTCTACACAAACACAAACGCAGCCATCTCCCCCCAAATTGTAAAACAAATTAAGTTCATAAACCAAGGTACCCATTTTCAGAAAAGTATGACATGAATGATACTTAGATAAGGTAAAGAAAACATTCTGATTCTACTGAACTCAGAATTCCTCTATATTTACATAGAAATAAAATCCAGTAACACTTCTGAAATTCAGTTCTAATACTGGCATGTAGTAGAAAATTCACAATTACAAAATTAAGGTAACTGAACAGCATGACCGGTGAAATCGATGTTTATGAAAGATCACTTACTATTTGCCAAGTATCCTGCCTAATAGTTGGGATACAATGGCAACAGACACTATGTATGCCCTTAATATCCAGGAACTAAAGAATACTAATTAAGGTCACACATTGCCAGGTGGCAGAGGAATGTATGAACAGGGAAGTGAGGAGGTCTGGCTATTCTGGAAGGTTTTGGCTTAGGTTTAGACAAGCTAGGTAGGCAAGAAGGGACTGAAATAGCAAGAGGGAAATAAGTTGTCTTGATAAAAGACAAGGTTACTATCCGAGAGATTTTGAACATGCTCACATACTGGAAGCCAAGGCATCTCTTATGGCCACCACGCTCTGAAGAGAGATTTTAAGAAATATGTGTGGAGCAAGGCAAGTGTTTAGGTGGCTTGAAAATTAAAATTTAGTGGGGTGAAGGGATGATTAGGAATAATGAAGCAAAAATGATATGGACTAAAGAAAGAGACCTCGATTTCAGCACTTAGAACTTAACACGGAGAAATAAAGGAAGGTTAAAAGTGGGGCCCCTGCAATTTAAATGTTCCAATAGAAAGCAAGGCTGAGCTGAAAGGGGATGTAGAAATACACATAGCAAGAAAAGGTATGTAGGAAAGAAGGGGCAGAGCTGCAGTTACGCTCTAGGCCTTCCTCCGGGACCCTGCACACTCGGCACCCGCCTCGGTCACCACAGAGCAGGAGCAGAGGCGCCTGGCTGGGACTCGTTCCCTCAGAGGGAATGACCACCGCAGAACTGGGAAACGCTGTGCCATTCACAACGTCAACACTTCAGACTGAGTGCAGAACAAACTGGCATTCTGACAGAGTCTCACTGGAATTTTTAATTAAGTTTAGGTCTTGGAATATTTTCCCAACTAGTTGTGTCACAAAAGGAAGGAAACTGAGTCAGAAGACTACAGTCACAGCCTGTCTCTTCTATGCATCAGGCTGGGGCCCTGCGTGAACCGCTCAGCTTTATTACGCCTACTCCCGCATCCACAGAATGAAAAATGGCCCTAATGTCCGAGTCATCAGCTCGAGGGAATACAGTGCCCGGGAGCTCCCTGTAACCTGGGAGTGTAAGCCCGCGGGTGTGAAGCGCACTGGAGCAGTATCACAAGCGAGACATCTGTACCTGGTGTCCCTGCCATAGGCTTTCACAGAGCTGAGACACCAGCTCAGGCCTGGCTGACTTCCCGAGCTGCATGTCACTGAGCACATCTTATCTTCAGAAAAATGGGTGTAGCAATCAAATCAACAGTTGGTCATAAAAAGTGATGAAACCATGCATGTGGACCCTGTTGGCAGCGCCTGGCCCAGGGTAAGAAACGCTAGTCACTAAAGTCTATTTTTGCCATACGCGAGGCCCGTCTGGATGCTCACCCGCACTTCCTCCCACACACAGGAGCGAGGTGCTCACCTAAGGAGCTAAGGAGCTAGGAGCTAAGGTGGCTCACTGGCTGCTGGCAGCAGAGGCACACAGAACTGGGGCCCAAGGCAATGCACCCAGCAGGCAAGGTGCAGGCAGAAGGCACCAGGCTGCCAGACAGCATTCTCTGCGGTGGGTGCTGTCTATCACGGCTTAGCACTAGCAAGCTGATTACGCAACATACTCAAAAGCATCTCCCAGGGAAGGAAACGTTCTGCATGCAAACGGGTGCTTCTTCACCTACCTGGCTGAAGCTTCCTGAGGAGCACACTTGCTTGTCTAATGGCTAGCACCGCGTGCAAATGCTTCCTGTCAGTTCGGTAAACCACGTCCTGAGTCAGGAACTCTGTCATATGCAGTTATCCGACTATGGCTTACACGATGACAACAAGACACGAGCCATCAAAGGAAGGGAATCCTGTCTCCATAGTGCAGACCGCACTGGATGCTTCCTGACCTGGCATCCGTGCAGTGCAGTGAGGAACCCAAGGGCTACTCACCACTTGCAGCTTCTTCTTGTCTCGAACTGCATTGCTATGGACAGCCTCAATCGCCATGTGGTGCTTCCAGGCTAATTCCTCCAGAGTCTTTGAATGGGCTTCATTTAGTTGAGTCACCTCCCCTTCCAATCTATTTTGCAGGTTTTTAAGCTCCATTTCATAATATTCTTGCTGAGTTCTCTTTGCTTCATGTACTTTCTTAAATTAAAACAAATAAAAATCAATAATTGGCACCCACTTTCTGTAATACTGCTAGTATTTGAACAATGTAAATATGTACGCATGGATGAACTGAGTGCTACAGGACCTAGACTTTGAAACATGAAAATACATCATTGGTCTTCTCAAAAGCAACAAGGTGGCAGAGGCAAAATAAAATATTTTAAAGCTAGAAATAGACTAGTATGAGGTTAGAACCAAACGCGACTGCAAGCTTAAGGAGAAAGACTTCCTGTATATCAGAGCAGTACACAAAATGGCTGAGCATCAATCACTCAAATGATACTGTCCAACGCAACTGTGGGTGCCAGTTATGTACCTTTTAAGCGTCCACAGACTGGTGATGAAAAAACTCAAAAGGCAGTGGCAATGCAGTCTTAGAAGCTCCATGAAAGAGGTGTCCACTGTGTCGCAAGAGAGCACAGGAAGGACCTGACCAGATGGGGTAGGAAAGGTGTATGTAGGCTGGGGCAGAGGCTGACCAGAGAAAACACACTCTCATTCGATTCTCTCAGCAAGCCCACAAGGAAACCAAAGACGAGGATGTGTCAATCCGAGGTCTGCTATCAAAGCCTGGATTCAGAACCAGCTTTGTGAACGACAGGAGCAGCTCACCAGGTAGGTGGCCAACGGTAGGGATGCAGAAAGTCCACACAGCCACACAGGGCCTAAGCCAAGAGCATAGAGAGACAGGGCTCAGAAGCAAGCAGGGCTGGCTACATGACGGGAAGGGTCTTTTATACTGAGGACTTGCACTGTTCTTCAGGGGAACGAGAAGTCACCGACACATAAGTGAGTAACATCTTAAAACAGTGCAGCAGCCAGTGCGCTGACTGAAGGCAGGGAGAGCAGTTAGGAGGCTGAAACTGTAATCCCAGCAAGCAACTGCAGACCTGAAAATGGGTACCAAGATGGGAGGATGGAATAAGAGTACTCGAAGGAAGCAGAGCCCACAGGACTCAAGAACAGGTAAGGGACTGGACAAAACAGCAATCAAAGAGTAATTCCTGATATCAGCTGAAATAAGAAATAAAGAATTACACTTTTAAAGGGAGAAGGTTCTGAGTGTCCTGACTTGACATGTTTATGTCCAGTGGAAAGTGAGATCTGACTGTGACTTATGGATTGAGGAAGAACCACTACCCCAGGCCCCTCCATGGTACTGGAATGGTTAGGACAGGGAATCAGACAAACATGCTGGGAACACCACTGGTGAGGAACTGCTGAAAGAGGAAATGTTCCCACAAGAATTTGAGGCCAGGAAGGTGTGAGGGGAACAGGAGAGAGTCAGGGCACCCAGAAAAGTGAGACACCACCAACCGGCGGGTGTGGGCGCCATAGGAAGGGAAGAGCCACCACTCCAGCACCTGGGATGTCCGAGGGCCAAGGCTAATGCAGATTCCACACACTGTGGGGAAGAGAAGACCATGCCAAGTTAAGGGCCGATTAGAGTGAGCAAGGAGCAAAAAGAACCGAAGTTCTTCAGTATGCTTAGTTGTTGGAGGATAGAAAGGACGAGCCAAACCCCTGCCTGTTTTGTGCATACCTGAAGAGCTAGAATAGTTAGCAATGGGTCTATAAATGACGTCTTGTTTAATACAGAAATTCCATATGTTGGTATATGACTACTGTATTCAGAGCTTGATGTCTGTCCTTCTTACTTTTATAAAAATGTCTTAGGGAGCGCCAGGGATTTAGCTCAGTGGTTCCGCCGCCTGCCTCACAAGCACAAGGTCCTGAGTTCAATCCCTGGTACCAAGAAAACCCCCAAAATGTCTTAGGTATATATACACAATAATATGCTTCGTTAACTAGAGAAACAAATATGATTAGCTATAAATGTGCATTCCACTGAACTAAGAGTTTATTCAGTTTATGGACTGAAGTAAGTTGAAATGTTTAAGTTTCTACATTATAGATTATTCCCCACTTATTTTGAATAAATTCCCAATATGAGGTTGTCTAGATTTACACCTTTGTTCCTCAAAGGTGAAGAAACACTAGAGTGAGAAATGAATTGCTATTGTGGAGTGGGGGAAATGCTCTAAATGAGCCATCTGAAAATGAGGGGATTGAGTCTCCCTTTCTCTTGGGGTTGGTGCCCCACTGCTTTTTACCTTCTCCAGCTCCAGGGTCTGTTGCTTCTGCTCTTCATCCAGACTTTCATTTCTGCTCTGCAAGAAAGCTCTTTCTTCTTCAAGCTGAGACAATCTTTCATAGGCCCTTGATTTTTCTGATTCTAAATCTTTGATTGTAACCTCCTGGGTCATCTGAGTTGCTTGAAGCATTCCAATATGACCTACCCCCGCCCGAAGAAAACCCCTTTAATTGCAGGATCAGTTGCACCAGGGTATCAAGCAGTTTATCTTTAACAACACAGTTGTACTTTATACCTAAGTAAAATAAGTGGTCCACATGTACACATTTTTCTTTGGTTTTCTCGCTGCATAAAATGGAAATATTATCCATGGGACTACTTCTTACCTAACTATAATAATTTAAATTAGAAAGTCCATACCCACATTGCTGCTATTCCTGCACGTAGTACTATTCTGCTTTTTTCTTTTAAGATTATAACAGATACAAGTTGAAGTAGGAGCAACTCCTCAGTGGTTTGTGTAAAGTCCACTGGGAGTAAAACAAGGTGACTGACACTAAGGTAGGGCATTGCTGATACTACACAGCCAAAAGGAGTAATCTGTTCGTTTTTAATCTTCTTGTTAAATCGTAACAGAGAAGAATTTCTACATGCAGGGAGCAAAGGTGGTAGAGAGCAGTTTAGCTGAAACCTAATTTGTTTTTAGGCAAGAGAATGGTAACAGGTAAGGACAGCAAGGCTATGAATGAAGAAAGTAAATGGCAGCAAAAACGGGTGGGGAACAGATGGAGGAAAATGGAGATCGGGCAGGGAGACGGAGATGTGGTGGGGGCAGGGTCCTGTGGGAGCAAGGGCTTGAGGGTCCCAGTGCCCCGAGAACTCCGGTTAGAAACTCAGCCACGCCAGCCCGGGGGGGGGGGTACTGGAACAGGGCCTCCACACCCAGGTGTGAGCTGAGGGTCACCGCTCTGGGAGGGAGTGCTGCACCTCCCAACGAGCCAATCCAAGCTGGAGGAGGACCTCGACAGAGCTGGGCACAGCAAGGCCCGGGTCTAGGGGCCACGTGGGGCAGCCTCCGCCCGTGAGGCCCGTGCCAGAGCACACTGCCACCTCAGGACGGAAACTCAGCTTCGGGGTGCAGAACGAGCCTCAGTAACAAGACTCGCCAGCCACACACTGCTCAGCCAACTTAAATACGCTAAAGTACACGTCAGGAACACTGCTTCATTTGCCTTTTACTGATTTATTGGTATTTTACCTAGTTCTTAATTTTTCTATAAAAATGTATTCCTAAAGAGAAATTCATCATTTGCTTCTTAGGGTTAATTAGCAAGCTAGTTCAGTTGTTAAACATATTTACAGTCCACACGCTTTCTGGGGAATGGGAGTGGAACTTGCTGTGTGGCTAAGGCTGGCCTGGAACGCCTCATCCTCCCAGGTGCTAGGATTACAGGTGTGCACACCATACCTTGCTACAGTCCAAACAATTTTAAAACAGTGGAAGAAATTTTAGATTAGAAGAAATTTTTAAACATTCAAATTTTGTCTTGAATGAACTTGGAAGTGCTGGTTTTAGCTGGGCATTACAGCATACGCTGTGGTCAGACGTACTGGCTTTGAGGACAAGGTCTGATGCTTGCTGTTGTAAACGTTCTCTAGCAGCTGCTAGTTCACTTTCCACCTCTTTGTGCTTGCTTAATAAGGCCATTTCTCCCTCCTTGGCATCATCAAGCTGTTTTTGAAGAACCTGAGAAAAATTAAATAGCCACTGTTAAAATGCAATGATGGCAGTAAGCCAAATAATTTAAGTCATAAGCATCAGCTGCATCTTATTGAGAAGTCCTACTTTATTATACCTAGTCTTACATTTGCTAAGTACTACTGATACTTGATACTATCTTCACAAGCCACATGACCCAACAGGACCGTATTCTACACTTTCCACTCCAATCCCACACAGATGAAAATTTCTATGCCAATAAAACAAAGCTTGTACAGGCTTTTAGCTTTTTTCAGACTTATGTCATGCTTTTACTAAATTTAGGTATAAAAAGCAATCAATGTCTAAATATGTCTCATGGGCAGAGCATTATTAATGAAGAGAAGCAAAAAACCACAATTAAGCCCTAAGCCCAATATTTTAACTCCCCCAAATCACTTAGAGAAAATAGCAGTGTGTTAAATAAAATCCTTTCTTTTGTAAGGATTTGGGGGCCCTTGACTATCTGAAATACTGACGCTAGACATAGGGTAATAAAAGTTACCCTTCTTGCAGAGAAAAGGGCAAAAGTGAGGGTGGGGGTGTTCAGTGGTGGGAACCAAAGCCAGCCAACTTGCCCTCCGGTCTAGATGAACACACTGTGGAGGGAACTGAAGAGACCGCTGAAAAGCCTGAGCCTGACCCACCTGAGCATTGCTCTCTGCCGTGGCGAGGGCCGTCTGAAGCCTCTGGCATTTGTCAAGAAGGCTGCTGGCTTCGTCCTGGACCATCTGTAACTCTGTTTTTAATTTTCCTATGGTTTTTCGTAAAATTGCTTCCTGTCCCTGAAATTCTTTCCGAAGATCAGCTTCCTTTTCTTTGCTAGCCTGTAGGCTTTCTGCTGTAAAAAGCTGTGACCTTTTCAAAGTATCAAGCTCACGCTCATAAAAGCACTGCGCTTTATTCAACTTGCCTTCATACTCCTCAGTGAGCCTTTTCTTTTCAAGTCTGAGCTCCTCTAGTGTTTTGTTTAAGGCCTCCACCTCCCTCCTGTGCAGCTCCTCTGCCTTCTCTTGCCCTTTGCTCACTGAAGCACTGTGATCCTGCTGTGATTTCAGCAGCTCCTGCATCTCCCGGCAGTGAGCAGTCCGAAGATCTTCCAGCGCACACCGCTTGTCTTTCTCAAACTGCACCTGGAGCTGTCCAAAGCTCCGTAACCTTTCTTCAAACTTCCTTCTGATCTCCTCGACCTCTCTGGACATGGTCACTATGCGCTGGACATGCTGGGCTTCTGCACAGAGTTGCATGTCCTCAACTCTGTGCTTATAGGCTTCAAATTCTGTCAAAGCCTGTTGCTTCATTTTTATGTGATCTTCCAAGGATGCCTCTAAAACTTGGATCTTCCTCTTCAGGTCTAGCTCCTCTGTTACTTTGCTTTTATACTGTAGTATTTTTTCTCTTGTTTCTGCAAGAATTTGTTGGATTTCTTCCTCATGAGCATCTTTGAGGGCTTGAATAGCAGATTCATGCTCATCATTTTTAGTGTTCAAAGCATATATGACCTGCATGGTTTTGAAGAAGGGAGAAGAACTGAATAAACCACATTCATTTAAAACGTGAAGTTAATTCTTTCATTTGGACTGATATTTTTCTATGCAAATAATATCAGTCATGGTAGATTTCAAATCTGGAGCTTCACATAATTGTTTTTGTATTTAATAGACTGATTTGCTTAGCAAATTTCTATTTTAGCACAAACTGTTTAATTATGATTTTTAAAACATTCAAAATTAACAACACCGAATGACAAATGAAACAGAGAGGAGGAAAGGGCACAGAGGAGGCCACTCGGCCAAAGGGAAAGGTGTTCCCTGCATGGCCAGAGGAGCTTCCTGGATCAAGTGATTGGGAAAGTCCTCAGAGTCAGTCTCAGCCCTGCGGTAGAGATGAGAGAGGCTTCTCATGAGCGGGAGGCCCTGGCCTTACATCTTCCTCAAAGCCTCTTTTATTAGTGTAATGTCCGCTTAAACATTTTGAATTTAAAATTTTCCTTTTCTAATTCCCCTATGGTTTGCTTTCTTTTTTAAGAGGTTGGAATTATTTAAAATAATGAACAAAACTCTGCTGTCCTCCAAACAAAAAAGTGACTGAAAATCTCTCTTGCACTTTATTTAGGAAGTCGAGCTCTAGTAGAATTAGCTCAACCTGGGCTGGAACCTCTGGGCTCCACAGAACCCCAGTGACCAGCAAAGACTGGACAGGGGAGCCCTAGGCCCTGAGAAGAGGGTTCCCTTCCTCCACTCCTCCACTGTGCTGCTGTGTCTTGGAGCATCTTGCGGGCATCGGCAGGGCCTCTGCACATGGGCTGGGGCCTGGTCCTGGCCCGGCAGCTCTGCTCCATGGGCTCCTGAGTTTCCGGCACATCTGCCCAGTGCCAGCACACAGCCTATGCTTGGCTTTTATAGCCCATCTTCTCCCTCTTGAGCTCCTTACCAAACCCAGCCAGCGTTTTTCACATGTCAAGTGCTATGGTTGACTCTGCCTGATTTTCTCTCTTCCCCCAGGGAAGCCTGACTCCTAGAACTCCAATTTGAGGAACAGGTCTTTGTTTCCATTTTAGTCTTTGGGTTTTGGAGAATCTTCTGAAATTTCCCCAACCCTGACTTCACGTGACACTATATCTTCTGTACAGTAACATTCTCATTCTTCCTGTCTGCCTTTGATGCCTTCTGTCAAATCACTGTGCTCAAACACTGCAATGTGCACAACTCTTACTAAACGTTTAGAGATGTGCCCACTCCCTTCCTCTTGGAGTAAGAAGAAGTGAACACTATACAGTCCAACAATCCAGAGGCTCAAAACCAGTGTCCTGGAGATCTGCTCACTGTGATGTGGCCTCACTCTGGCTTTAAAAATGAACTCCAGCACCGGGTACTAGAAACTGGTAAAACAAGGAGGAGTCAAAGCCTTGTGATTTTTGTAGAGGTTATTCATGCAGTCTGGGGCAGTCAAGGCAGACTAGCTGGCTCACCAGAGGTCTCGGCAACTCCAGACCCTACCTGCCAAAGACAGGTGTCCTCCAGGCCTGCAGCTGCACCTACAGAAGGGATGGTGCACGGGAGGCTTGCACTGCGGGGTTTCCCCTATCCACACGGCTGTGCTTTCAGACACAGCACCCTGCCCACACGCAGCCCTTACCCCCGGGGCCGTAACTGTATGAGATCCGATCATCAGAGGTAAAGACACTGACAGGCAGCAGAAACCCGTATGCTGTGGCTTAATTTTGGAGCATCCCCCATAGACTTCCGTACGGAAAGTGCTAGCCGCATCAATAGATTCATCCAACAGTGAGTCCCCAGCTGAATGGGGTGTTGGCAGGCGAGGCCTGGCTGGAGGGAGTGGGTCCCCAGGGCCTCCTTTCGAGGCTCTGTCCTCTCTGCCTCTTCCTCGCATGCTCTGCTTCATGGCTGCCATGAGTTGCGCAGCTTTCCTCTAGCAATCCTTTTGACACACTGTTTCTGCCTTCAAGCCAGCTGACCATGGACTAAAACGTTCAAAACCATGAGCCAAAATTAGCCTTTTCCCTTTTCAATTGTATACTCAAGTATGCTGTCCCAGCAACCAAAAGTCGAACAGTAAGCATCTGTCTTGCCACAGCTACTACGTTTTTTGGTGCTGTCCATAGGAAAATATGTGCACATGAGAATAAATGCTAACTCACAGTCTATTTTTTTTAAAAGCTCTAATTCCAAACCTCAAATTCTATCCCTAATGAGCTAACCCAGATCTCCCGGAAGACTCCTTTCATCTCTGTGTTTAAGCATGAAGGCAGCCTATAACCCAAGAAACTCGGGAGCGTGCTCCTCCTATCCCTGTAGTTGTACTTGCCTGCTGGGAGCACTGCCCTGTGGATCACTGGGGCAGGGCCTAACTCCCCTCCTCCCTCAGACGGACGAGGCAGGGCCCAGCGGGAGGAGAACAGGTAGCAAAGGGCTTGGCAGAACAAGGCCTGGCTGAGAAGAGGACGTCTTGCTCCCCGTGCACTCACAACGCTGCTCTGCAGACCTTAGCTGTCTCCCGCCTGACAGCCCAGCCCCTTCTCCTCCGCCTGCCCTCCCTCTTCTACACACTGTGAACAAGCGCTCAGTGGCTGGTGCTGCTGCTCTCCCATCACAAGCGAGGCTCCACCTGGCTCCAGCTTTTCTATCTCTGTCTTCTTCACCCCCACCGTCCTCCCGCCGTGGACCCTCCAGCACGCAGGCCATGCCACTTGCCGACCAAGACACTGACAGTGGCCTCCGCCCTTGGTTCTGACCCGCAGCTGCTCTGGGTCCCTTGTCATCTCCTAAGGGCAGGGTCCCGGAACACAGACCTCCCCATCCCATTGGTGTTTCCTGGGTGAAAGAGAATCTTCTGCTCTACTGAGATAACTGGCAGGTTCCAGGACACATCGAGAGTGAGGCCGGTTGCCAAAGGAGCCCACCGCGTGACTACAGAGTTGGAATTTTTTTTCCAGATAGTGGAGATTGAACAATGAACTCCATCCCCACCTCATTTTTCATTATCACTATTTTATTATTATAAATAAAAAATATGCTGTAAGTTGCCCAGGCTTTGTGATCCTCCTGTCTCAGCCTCCCAGGGTGCTGATTATAGGCATGAGCCTCTGTACACAGCTTGGGTTGGAACTTTAAACCCTGAACTCCCTGCCCAACCTCCAATGAGGGCAGAAAGGGCTGAACACTGACTTGCCCAGTGGCTAAAGATTTAATCAATCATGCCTACATAATGAGGCCACCATAGAACTCCAGCGGGAGAGAAGCAGCACACAGGAGGTACAGGAGGACATGGAGGGTCTGTACCCCTCCTGCGGACTTTGCCTATGCATTTCTTTTGCCCACTGTCGAGCCTCTCATGGATAACTATGCTTCCCGAGCTCTGTGAGCGATCCTAGCACATGCATGGCACCCAAGGAGGGCGCAGTGGGATCTTAAGCCTGAAGCATAGACCATAGTCTGGGGCTTGCAAGGGCCTCTGAAGTGGGTGCAGTGCTGTAGGACTGAACTCTCAACCTGTGTGATCTGATGGTGTCTCTAGGGACAGTGTCAAAACTGAACTGAATTACACAACACTTGGCTGGGGTCCACTAGGAGGGAAAAAATGCACACACATTTTGGTGACCAGAGGTGAAGTGTTCAGAGTTGCACTTAGTGTAAGAACAGGAAAACACTGTTTTATCCACCTCAAAGAGTCATTAAGAAAAAACAAGCCAAGCACAGTAGCGCACACCTCTAATACCAGCACTCTGGGAGGCTGAAGCAGGAGGATCCCAAGTTTGAGTCCATCTTAGGCAACTCAACTGAGACCTGGACTCAAAAAATTAAAAAGGGCTGGCGATGCAGCTCAGTGTGAAGGGCTTGGGTTCAGTCCCCCATCCCAGGAAAACAAAACAACCCCTCCCCACAAAAGGAAGGAGGGAGGGAGGGATAAAACAAGCCAACCAAAGAGAAGCCCATTTGCCAAAATTCTGAGAACGAAGCTGGTACAGATCACAGGTCTTCCTTCGGCTTCTGCAGGGCAGGTCAGCAACCGACCCGCATCCTGTCTTACTAATCACACGGGAGGAAAAGAGAATTCAAGGTGACAAGCTCCCAAGAGGAAACCAAGTCACTTTATTGCCACTTTGCTCCTCAAAATGACCGTGAAAAAGACCAGGCCATGGTAGGACTCATGGACTCATTATTTAGGGTACTAAGCACGAGAGGGAACATGTGAGCTTCCCCTGGTAAATGATTTACTGTAGTACTCTTCTTTCTAGTACTTCATTCCCTCCAGCTTTTAAAGAACCAGTGTAAGTCTTCACCACCGCCCAAACTGATGGGAGTGCAGCTTTTCTTTACATCCCACACCCTGACTCTACTTCTTCACCATCATTTTCTCTTGAAAATCAGTAAATGGTGAATTCAACTGGAGGAGTCTTAATAACAAGGTTAGAAAGATGTATAAGGATGTTAGAGACCCTAAAATGAACTCTAATGATATAAAAGCACTGTAGCACTCACAGAGGTGGATGAAAAGGTAAAGTTAAAGGAGACAGAAGTAGGAATGAAAGGACTAAGAGTAGGATTTAAGCAAAGTTAACAAAACGTGACAAATAATTGAAAAATATTATAGTGAGAAGCTCTATTTCACTTTAAATTCTAATTCACCAAACTACAACTTACAGGCCAAACATGGCTGCTGCTTCACTTTGCAAATAAAGTTTTACTGGAGCACAAATACGTCCACCTGTTTAGGTGCTGTCTGCAGCTGCTCCCCCACTGCAACAGCAAAGTTTGCAAGCTGGAGGAAAGATCATTACTCCCATTATCTTAGCCAAAATTGGCAGCCCAAAATGAAAAAGATAAAATATCAGAATTTGCACTTTGTCTACATTCTACTCAACAGTCTTTTTCCCACTATAACTCATACATTAAGATAATCAATTTTGTGACTGTGAAAGTATATAAAAGAATTATATATTCATACTGACCATATACCAGTGTCTTCCAGGTAAACTATT